GACAACATATACCTTTAATACATATGGCTGCTGTAAGACTCATAAGTAAGTAAGTAAGTGCTATGTGTTGTCATCATTGTCTTATGAGTTATTAAATGAGTCACTATTGATCACATCAGATGCCACAAATGGCTGAACACCACACATTTAAATTCAGGACAAAGTTACAGTAAAGTTGATCAGTACTATGTCAGCTGCCTGTAGGAAGCCTCTGTCATAAACAGATGTTAATGTGACATTTAATCTGATTGGATCCAACTTGGCATGATTACCATCATCAGTATTCTCTTTGCTTCCAAAGTTTCAGCAGTGATTCAAGTGTTGTGCAACTGACACAAATAAACATTTTGTTGTCTTTCATCAAGAATAACATTTCCAACAGATATGCACCCACACTTCTCCCACCCCCATGCAACGTGCCTTCCTAGTTATTCAGAAAAAAATCTAGCTGCAGGATATTTTGACATACACAATATTTCTGGGATCTGATGCAGGTGAGTGAAATGAAGAAAACAGAGACATTTGTAAACAAGCATCTCTTCAATTATACCGCCTACTTGCATTGTTGCTGGGAAATCTGGGACAAATAAGACATTTATGCAGATATTTAACAAGATTTATGGTTTGGCCTGCTGTATTTGTGGAGAAGTCATGTACAGTGCAAGCATTGGTTAGTCAAGATTTACATTGCTTGTCTAAACAACATGGGAGGGTAGGGTTGTCTATGCACATGGGGTGCTAGAAGACTGATCCAGGCAGGAATCATTTTCTGATCAGCTCTTGACCGAAACACAGAATTGTTTGAGGGAGGTGAGGGCTGGTTTGAAACCAAGATATCGCAACAAATTTATGGTCTGACAATACCACAAGACTTCCTTCTATAATTGCCTTTCATGTTTTATATAGCTCTTGGTCAGCATATACTGTATATACACTGTATAACCGAACCACACCGCTAACAGTATTATGGTGCCAACGGGACCATGTTGCTAAGAAAAACCGCACTGCTAACCGAACCACACCACTAACAGTACCATGGTTCCAACAGGATAGAACTGTCATTTCTAACATGAGCCCTAAGCCCGACCCGAATTTGGGGAGGGCCGGGTCATGATATTGTGCTGGATTGGCGGGCCGGGTAGGTGTTGGGCTTTTAATTGGGTCAGGATCAGCCATGATCCAATTATATGATAACACGGCCTGCCATACTTTCACCAGCCGCATGTGGCCATTTCACCGCGAGCTGACCAGCCTTGAAAGAGGTAAAAAGTTCAGTTAAGCTTCAGATGGGACTATACTGCCAGGAAGTGATTCATTGCACAAATGGATGTTCATTCAGCCGCTGCACTCAGCAGATGCGTGCGGCCGACGACCCAAACAGGTGAGATCCCAAAGCAAATGTGTCGGAGCAGGGTCTGTGTCTGAATAAATCAGAATGTAGTGTAGGCAGAAGCAGGGTTTAAATGTTCTTTTACGGCCATGAAAGGACAAACACCCCCTCAGCTCCTATCTTCTGCATCTTTTTTTATTCAGCCGTGCGTCCCCATTGGCAGGTGTATCCCAAAACAGACGTGTGTCAGAGCGGTCCATGTGTCTCAGTAATGCAGAAAAATGCAGGCAGAAACAGGGTTTAAATCTTTGTTAAAATCAGGTCTCTCTTGTAAATGAGTCCTTTAGGCTCAATGGGATTAACCTGTCTAAATAAAGGTTGAATGAATGAAAATGCTCTTTTGTGTCCATGAAAGGACAAACAGCCCCTCAGCTCCGATCTTCTGCCCCTTAATTCAGCCCCGCATCCCCGACCGTTAATAACTAATTTAAAATGTCGGGGGTTTCCGGGTTCTGTAATTACTGTTAATTCGCCGGGTCGAGCGGGGTTCGGAAATGATGACTGCGGGCTGGGGCCAGGTTGGGTATGATTTTTTTGGGCCAGAATGCAACTCTACAAAAGAACCATATTGCTAAGACTAACCTCACTGTCATCAGAACCACTCTGCTAATAGGACCATGCTGCTGTGTATTTATTTCTTTTTCACTTTTGGCGCCTTGTTTCTGTATTTTTGTTGCATGCTTTGAATACATCCCAGTTTATGCTAGTTTTGGGGTCGGCTCGGAGGCCGACTCCGCTCTCATTACGCTTGTAAATTATATCCGAACCAAATCTATGAGAATCAATGCTGCTGTTATTTGGTGTATTGTTTTGCACTATAGTGACTAGCGTGTATCTTAGATCTTTTAGTGTATCGCTTGGTGTTTGTTTATCATATATATGAGTTTACATTTTAGATCCTTATTTACTGTTTCTTTTTACACTTCATAGTTTTGCTACCGTTTGATGTAACTGGGATCCTGTGTACACAATTTCGTTCCACCTCATGTACCACATGTGACGCAAATGAAAATAAAGAACCTTGAATCCTTGAATATAAATAACTAAACAAACAAACAAATGAATGAATGAATGAATGAATGAAAATTGCAATGCTAAATTGCGAACAACTTCAGTTGAATGCAACTGATCTGTTTTTCTTGGTCCAGTTTGTCCATTTGCATTACAGTGACACATTTAAACAACCGTAATTTGGATAAGTAGAGGGGGAGTGGGGGCGCAAAGGTTAGAGAAGGTGGGCCTTGATCGAAAGATTACCGGTTCAACTCCCTGGACCGACAACATCAAAAATGTGGGTGGGATAGGTGAAGCACCCACACCTGCCTCCATTCTCATTTGCCCCACTCTGGGCCCTTGAGCAAGGCCCTTAACCCCCCACCATCTACTCCCCCGGGCACCCTAGATAGCAGCTCTCTGCTCCACACAGAGGGCTGTGGTAGCTCAGTGGTCTGTGGTTGTGTCAGGAAGGGCAACCGGTGTAAAATCAATTCCCAAGTCTTTGTGTGAGTTAGTTCGCTGTGGTGACCCTTGAAGCAGGGAGCAGCCGAAAGGAAAAAAAAACAGAATAACTAGAAGGTTCACAATATCCTGATGAATGCTCAATGCTAGAAGGTTCACAGACATTTTAGGTGTTTTAACGTGTATAAAGTATAAAGAAAAAACTATTTTGGGAGTTTGGACAAACCTTCAAGGATAAAGGTCAATGCAATGACTTTTGTTGATTGTGCATGACCTTCAAGCTCTACGGTACCGCTCCATGAGAAACTGTCATACTGCCATTATCAATACAGAACTCAGATGTAGCACAGGATTAAAAACAATGGTTGTTGCATCTACAAATGTATCCTGAAACTGTTCTGTGCTGGAAAAAAACCAAACAAAAACAAAAAACAACGTGTCAGCTCTGAACTGAAACAAGCACCCATCAGAAAGACAGAGAAATAATGAGCATGTGTTTAATTGTTTGTCTTCATAGACACAGAGTGGGTGTATGTGAATGGTCTGGCTGCAAATCCAAAACTTCCTCTTGTTTTAAATGACATCATTAAAAGAGTACCAAACAGTGGCTTTTTATGTGGCAACACATGGGTAGGAGCAATTTTTATCATTTCATATTTGAAAAACTTATTTGTTTAATTTCTTTAGGATTACTTTTTTGTAGTTTTTATATTAATAATTTAATATTTTCTAAACAATATACATTTAGTTAGTATGTGATGTAATTTTTCTTGCATTAGTTTGTGTCTCGTCGTAACAATTACGAAGGATTGGTAAAGGCGGATTTTAAAGAGGCAACCCTATTTTCGAAAGGGACCTATCTTACACCTAGATGCAGCCAAAGACCAAAACGAAAGTTGGCCTATTGCTTATTTTTCAAGAAATCCAGCTCACAACGTTTAAATATATTAGGTGGTTGCCATGTTTGATTTTGATGTGGCAACCCAGCTTTCAGAAGGAACATTTCCTACACCTAGATGCAGCCACACATTAAAAAAAGAAGTCTGTAACTCACTTATTGTTTGTTATTGTGCTCACAACATGCAAGAATGGATGGACAGATGGAGGGTTTTTTTTTCTAATTCTACTTTTTGCTCTGCATTGGGTGATAATAAACTTACGTGCATGGTGTTTGTTTTTGTTTTTAACACTATAACTTAGCCTGACTACGTCACCTATAAAACTATATTAAGCCGATTTGTAACTCTAAATTGTCCCTTGGTGTGAGTTTTACAATGGTTATTTGTCTCTATAGCCGTTTTACCCCTGATGAGTGCAACATGAGTCGGTTTTCAGCTTATAGGTTATATTCTTGCTTTTGACCTATTGTCATTTTAAGTACTGTTTTTTGTTAAGCACTTTGGTCACCATCACCATGGTTGTGTAAAGTGCTATAGAAATAATTAAATAATAATAATTAAATAATATTCAAGTGTAGGTGAATTGTCACTTTGACTTGTTTTCTCACTCTGTGGATGGGCTAATCAGTGTAAAGTGGGCAGGCATCGTAACTGAAATTTAGCTTAAATTTTCTTAGCTTATTCCGATGCTTATAGGTCCGGGTGTAGCCATGTTGCACATCATCTCCAATATCTTGCAGTAAATTTGCACATCACTTTTAGTGCTGTTCAGAAAGGTCTGGACTTCGTCATTGGTCCATGGCACCATGTTTGGCGCTTCCATAGTGAAATAGACACTAGAAAACTAGAACAAACCAACTAACATGCTCTACAACAAATGTTTGCAGTTGTTGCTGGGCGGGTCATCCAGTGATGTAGCTCCGCTGGCCAATCAATGGCTGCTGTCTGCTTACATAAAAATTGTCACCTCGGAGCAGTTTGCTTAGAACCACGAAAAAGATGATTCCATAAATCAGACTGAGTGGGTACCGGCAGTGGGCAGGCCCTTAACTAGCGGGGTGTGGTGCAGAACCGAAGAGTGTAGTGACAGTGGTAAAACGCCATATCCGTCCCTGTGGTCTCTCGAACAGTGACTGTTCGACATGGGCACTAGTGACCCCCGCAACCACAGAATGAAGAAGAAGGCAAAAATAATGGATGGACAGATGAATAGAGGGATGTTGTAGCACATCTGAATGAAATAAGTTTCTTACCCCAGGACCTTGAGGAGAATCTGGAGGAGAAGCCTTTGGAATTAGTTTTTGACCTGAAAGACACAAATAAGAAGTACAGAAAGATAACAACCCTTTCAGAGATAAACTTCAAACAATCTTTTTAAAATGTGAAATTATTGTTGACGTTTTTGATTGACATTTGGTTACATACTAACGACTACATTTAAGTGTTTAATATGTTTTTAATTTTTATCACTACATCTTCTGCATGCTTTGTCATCTGGCAGCAGTTTTTTTTTATTTTATTTTTTTTGGGTAGACATTTAATGGAATATTAGTTGACAGAGGAATTAGGGGTTAAGAGTAAAATGTCAGATTTTAAATTACTTTCCTGTTGATTGGATTTCATGCAGTCTGGCATCCGGAGGTATAAAACCAAACCATAACAATGTGCACTGAATGACTGCAGTGAGCAATGGGATCCCTCAACTATTTACAAACATAACAAATGTATCCACTTTCACACAGACAAAGAGCCCGAGTTAGATTTAAACAGTGGTTTAAAGTGCAACAATGCATCTTGAAGATTTTTGGTGGGTAGCCATGGTAATACCAAAATGAAAAGCTTCCCAGCATCTCTTTGTCCTCCTCTCCCACTCTAGCTTGCTCTTTATGCTGGGCTTGACTGGCCTTTTGGAAATTGCTTCAGTTGCCTGGGGTGTCTTGCAGTAGCTCCCATCTGTTCAGACTACATGCATACAGAGTGGACATGTTATGGGACTGGCTGGCTCTATCTCTCAAATTTGCTCTGGCATTCTCCCCCTGGCAACCATTTTCTTTTTTAGGACTTGCTGTTCTTTCACAGCTACACTTATGGAACCCACAGAGAATTTGATTCCCCTCGTTAAAAGGACTGATGTGCAACTGGCCATTTGTTTGGGATCAATAAGAGGCCAGTTTGACAGCTGAGCAAACACCTATCCAACTCCAACTGGGCACATGTTTGTTTTATGAGCGGTGGATATTATATGAATACGACACAAGGGGACTTGCACAGAACACATTTTAAAATGTGAAGCATGCACATGTTTAACGTTGAAATAAAGGAATATGTGTTGAAGTACAAATATCTTTTTTTATATTGTCTTCTCTCGTCTGATTATTGGGAGCACAAAGTGAAGTGTGTTGTTCACATAAACAGCATTCAATTCAGTAGCTGAATTAGATTAAAATAAATGTATGTACTTGAAAAAAATTCCCAATACTACTAGAAGTCAAGTTGATGTTCATAAATAAGATAAAAGTCCATTCTGAGACTGTTTAATAATTTGGTAGTGAAATGCAATGGCTGAAATCATCAAAGATAAATCAGATAATTTACCAGAGATCTATATAAACAACACAAAGCATTTAATTTCCATGTGATCTGGTAAACACTGATTAAAATGTAATCAGTAAATCACCATGATTTCATGATCTCTAAAAGCACCATCTACACTCCTATGACAAAAGCGCTGATCAACCCTGTTCTCTTCTAAGAAAAACTAAAAGTCTCATTAGAGGGGCAATAATCAATTATACAAGCAGGGCTTGCTCAAGTTTGTCATGCTGTCCCTGGGATTGAGTGGCTGCGTTGCAACACTTTTAATCAATTCACTGACAGATTCACAACAAATCAGCAGTTTGGCTTTCGATAGGGGATGCAGACAGTGGCACATCATTTGTCTTTAGCTATGTGCGGTGGTGGAATATTTAATCACAACTTGGTTATAGTGGGAGGCCTGTTCAAAGCTCAGGGTTCAGAACCTAATTTAGGAAGGATATAGAGGAAGAAGCGTGCTTATTATGGAAGAGTCAAAAGAAATTCATCAAGAACTCCTCCCTGCCTGAAAAATAAAATGAAATATGATAAAACCTAAAGAAGCCTACACACAGTGGCATGATTTAGGTTTACTTTATTGCTCCTGTTTACTGCTTTTAGAAGAAAAAAAATAAACCAGCAAGCACAGTGGCATTTGAGATTTTTTATTTATTTTTTAACTTTTGGCAGCTCCCTTCCACAGTGAACCAAATCACATGAAGACTTGACAATTGTTTTTACCATGGATGTCCTTACTGACGCAACCACAGACCACCGAGCTACCACAGCCCTCTGTGTGGAGAAGGGAGCTGCCATCTAGGATGCCCAGGGGTTAAGGGCCATGCTTAAGGGTCCAGAGTGGGGAAAATGAGGTTGGAGGCAGGTGTGGGTGCTTCACCTTTCCCACCCACATTTTGATGTTGTTGGCCTGGGGAATTGAACAGGCGACCTTCCAATCTCTTATGCACCACCACTCCCCTGGCATATGAGAATAATATGGTGTTATAAAAATGTGAAGTGCACACTAAAAAAACTATTTCACGCTAAAAATATTTGATTTGGGGAATAAATATTTGGCAACGCAGATTTCACATAGACATTAAAGTGTAAAAAAATGTTCCCTCTCTAGTGAAGCTCTCATCACATGAATGTGCTACATCTAAACCTCTTGGACTGCTGCTGTAGACAGGAGTCATCGTTGGGCTCCAAAGGTCCTGTGTGCTTGCCATGGTGGAACATGAACTGGTTCTTCATCTGCTACAGCTTCTGGTTGTACTGATCATCCAACTTGCAACACACTGTCTATAGAACCGCTCTGTCCAGTTGGTCGAAGGCAGAGGAGATTAAGTCAGTCTATGAGATGAGAGACTCATTAGTGGATGAATGACATTGACGTTTGCTACTGAGGCCTTCCAAGATTATAAATGTGTTACAGGATGGATTTGGCAAAACTGTTTGGCTTAGCAGCACTAAACTTGTGCACCCAGCACCATCGATTGGTTGAAGACACAACTTTTGAATTCAATTAAATATATATATATATATATTTACATTAGAGATTTGTTTTCTCAGAGTTTGATTCTTTGCAACCTCAAGCTGCAAGTGAAAACACATGACCTACAAACTGTTTGTGTAGTCTTGGTACAGATTTGGAGACAATCCTAAGCTTGCTTGTCTTTATGTCGAACGTGGCGTCAAACTGAATCTGATGTTTGACAACATCTGCAGTTTTATTTCCTTTGAATCTTGTTATGAAGAAAATATCTAGGTCACAGCTGAGATAAACGCTTCTATAAGCTGAGTGGAAATGAACATTAGCTATTAAATGATGTTGAAGATTTGTCCTACGAACTAGTAAAAAATACCACTGCAAAAGATTTTATCACTTCTACTACATTTTAGTAAAACAATAAGATGAACGAATAAAGTTATGACTCAAAAGAATTGTTCAATTACTTGTTAAAAATGGCATTAACTTATTATAGAATTAACTAGCAGCCTAGTCCTTACTGTTTATGCTATTAATTAATGGATTCAGCATCAACCCACTAATTGTTAGTGAAGGGTTTAAAAACAGCAACAGCTGACTGTAGGAAAAACATTGTGCTTTTTATGTTTGTTAAGAAAACTGCTGAATAATATCAAACATTATACATGATTAAACGTCAAACTAGAAACTAAAGAGATGAGAATAAAACACTTTAAAGAAAAAAAGATTCATAAATGTCTTTGATAGTTCCGCGCATAACCCGTCATTTTAAAGTGTGCTCTGGAAAAAATATCTGCTTGAAAGACCACATGGCACAACTTCTGCTACCTCGCAGAAAGTATTAGAACACCCTTACTTCTTTGTGTGAACATAGAGGCGTAGGGGCTAAACCATAGAAGCAAATAGTGAAATTAATCATATTCAGAAAATGTAGTCACTGCTTTATGACTGGACTCCTGTAAGGGGAGTAACTGATGAAGTCCATGTTTCTCAACTACAGACCCGGAATGAACTGAATGAATGAATGAAATGAACTCCAGGAGAGGTTTGCTCAGATGTAAAGGATCTGCTTGTCTGTTCTTGAATCAAATTTAGTTGCTTTTCCAACTGTGACTTGCGCAGGTGATAGCACATGAACCAAGTGTGTGTCTAACAGCAAGTACAGTTTGTTGAGTCATGAAACTGAACCAAGTTATAATGCAAGAAGGCCAAAAGATACAAAAGTTTCGCAATATGAAACGTATGTATAACACAGGAATGCTACACCCGGTCTAATAATCAAGTTAAAACTAAACTATAACAATGCTGATTCCAACATGTTCATTTATAAGCACATTGCAGTAATAATTTTGAACATTTTTATTCCTGAATAAGTGATGTGTGTGTTGTATTTGAATTTCTTTCTTTAAACAGATGTGATCGAAGAGTGCAAACTAAAGTCTGTCCAAGGTTAAGAAGCCTAAAAGAACAGCCAAAGTCTTTTCCTTGCACTTTTAGTTTATCCTTCACTCCCCTCAGACCCCAGTAATGAAGTACAGCAATCATGCAGAGAGCAGGTGGTGCCACTGAGATAACGCTGCTCAGAGCTGGAGTACAGACTAGGTGGAGGACAGGCTAGTTTGATCATTAATTCTTTAATCTTTGGTTGATAACATTTTCTGTTACCGGACACTATATGTTTCCTAACTTTCATATATACAATATTCTTCTTACAAAATGCTAAACCATTAGTTGTAGAGAAGCAAAACTTAACTAAAGTTGTAAAATACTTTAAAGGTTGCAGTTGGTCTAAGAAAAAAAAAAGTCTTCAGATGTGATTTATTCTGTTCCTTGCAGAGTAATTAATGTGAGCTTAAAAACAATTATATCCATCATTATACATGATGATATTTACTCTGTGAGGGTGACGAAGGTGATTTTCTCTGATGTGACACATCCTCCTTCTTTGTCCTCTCAGGTACCCTTGGACTGGATGCCTTCCGTTCCAGCCTGGACAATAGCCAAAATCGTATCATGTCTTTTGCCTCAGAGTCCTCCTTGAAGGTAGAAAATATAAGACATTTCAGTAATACAGCTGATTTGATAAAACAGTGCAGTTCAAACGTATAAAATAACATACATGCTCATATACCATAACAATAACTGAGTGAATATTCACAGCAAAGGTGTAGAATTACTTTAAATCTAATATAAGCACTTTTACATCATTTAATATTTTTGACTTAGTTTTTTTTTTAATGTGACTGGTAAACAGTCTACAGTAAAATTATTATTTTGTGCAAAACATTAATTGATGGAATATGATTTTTGACAGGCACTCTTTAGAGACTTAGCAGCAACAACACAGATAATTGGAAAGGTTTTGTTTACAAACACATTTTTATGAGTGCTTAATGGTGCAAAAAGCACATTATTGAGACCCCTTCTTGTGCATTCTCTATATTTTAGTCCTCAAAGGATAGAAAAAGTCATTGCATTACCTGCAATGTGCTTGAAACAGAGACTGGTTTGGGGCTCTGGGTTTTGGAGGTCTCTGTGCTGTAGACCATCACTCCATAAGGGTTTGGCTTTGCACCTCCAAGCAGAACAAGCTGGATCTCTTTGTCTTTCCAGATAGATGGTTTCAGGAAGGGGCACCAAATTCCCCAACGAAGGCACTGCAAGAAGGCAGCTCGATGTGTGGAGGCAGCAAACACCTGCGCAGGAAGGTGGGGGGGAGACACAAAGACAAAAATCAGACCCAGACACTAGAGGAGTCCTCATTTTAACCTTAGCCTTAATAATTAACCCAAAAAAGTTAAATATGGTCCTCTGGACATTCAAAAAAACAAAACAAAGCAAATCAACAAAAAATGTAGAAACGTTTCGTCTCTCATCCAAGAGACTTCCTCAGTCTGAGGTGCTGTTTTCAGCTCAGTCTCTTAAATAATAACCTTAGTGTGTGTTTTAAAAAAACAAAAACAAAATGCAACCGTAATATTTAACACAAATAATCAGTACCACTAACTGGATCATTTTACATATGCAAATAAAAATGCAGCATAGTGTAAAGTTTAAGTAGCCATGAGTGTGAATTGATCCAGAGTTCTGAGATGTGAAACTGTGATTTTTTTTTTTTTTTTTGACAACCTGATTAACTTATTTTAGGAAACACTAGAAACCTTATTCTGATCCCTTTATTTCTCTGATCATGAAAGCAAATTGCAAAGAGTACGTCTAAATTTTTGTTCAATGAACCTAAATGACAGTGTTATATTTAATTTTGTACATGTTGCTAAATGTCTTCAGACACAAGTTTTAGAAGAATTTTGATTATTCATGAACCACCTTTACAATAAGAATTGTTTAAACATGCAAGAGAAGCTGAAACAGTTTGCTTTAATGCCTCCACAAAAATTCCCAGAGGCTTTCCTGAAACAAATAAGCTTGTGTGCCCAAGACTGTTATAATCAATCACAAGAAGAACAGTATAGAATGCGCGGCACAAGTTTCCACTGTGTCAAGACAAATGTAGCATATTATAGATTTCAGACAGTTTACAATTCCTCTGAGCACAATTTTCTACATGTAATAAAGACGATTCAATTAGCAGCTCTTCATTTGTATAAGTACTGACTTTAATATTAATGTTATAAGCAAACAAATCAATGTATTTGTTTAAATAAGATAAAAAGTCAAGAACTGCAAGTAACAGTTGAAGCATTTGGGTAAGCATTGTGCCATATGACACTAAAACCACTTAAACACTATCTGAAAAGAACTTGCAAACTTTTTTTAAATTATTTCTGAAAATTCTGGGTCTGATTTAGCTAAAACATAGGTGTCATTCTGTACTTTCAGTATTGAAAGCAAAAACCAAATTATTCTCTATTGATTTGTTTAATCCATTTTTCCACAACTCTAAAATCCTGTACTGAGTTAGATAGTTGTATCAGTGATATGCTGTGTATTGGCAGTGAACAGCAGGGGAGGTGGAGTTACAATGCATGCAGTAACTGTAGGAAGGACAAGATTGGTAAAAGAAGGCAAACTCTTAATAAAAGATTTACTAAAAATGGAAGAAAAGTTAATCTCTTTGATAATAAAAGCCAAATCAGACTTATCCCATACAGAACATGTTTGAAAACAAGAATGATATTCTTCCTTTTATTTCAATATCACATCAGTATCAGACCATGACTTATCAGCATCTGTTAAAAACATTGTTGTGATTTAATATGAAGAGTAATATACTCAAAAGCCATGTGATCGATGCTTACTGGTAGATAACGTTTGTTTGCATGGAAATAACTTTAGCAGTCAAGAGCTGATGCCCAGATGTTATTAAATAGATGTTAATACATAAAAAACAGAAAGGAAAAAAAATAAGCTGAGAAACTCACCTGTACAAAACAAAATGTGCTGAGCTTTCAAGCAATATCAACAAAGTCCATGCTCAATAATCCAGGTATACTATCCAACAATTTTCAGTCAGGTCATCTGGACTGAGGAAGTCTTTCGGATGATAGACGAAACGTTTCTACATTTTTTTGTTTTGTTTTGCTTTGTTTTGTTTTTTGAATGTCCAGAGGACCAGATTTAACTTTTTTTTAGATTTTTCTACCTGGATTATTGAGCATGCATCAGGATATGTCATCTGGACGGTGTCTTTTTTTGTGCTGAAACATTTCACCTTCCATCCAGAAGGCTTCATCAGTCAAGGAAACACACAACACAAAACTGATTCTTCTCCCAACAGCTTACTCCAAAGAGGAACAAACCAGTTATGTTGGTGCTATATGGTCTCTTTTTTCAAGCAATATGTAAATCTATAAAGAGAACACACAAGCACAGACTTAGTCACTCAAACGGAGCAAAACAATTTTATTCTGCCTGGTTATTACTACAAATTGTTTACATTGTCAAAAAACAAAAACAACAACAACAACAAAACCAAGCAAATTGTCAAACTAGTCTTTATAATTTATGTATTTATTTGTTTTACAACAGCCATATATATATACATAATTTGTATGAATAAATGCAATAATTGTATTTTTCATTGGGCTTGCAAGGCCACAAAGTGTTTTTGTTACAAGGTGAGTTGTGCACAACAAATATATAAATGATTTAATACAGCACTATCTACACGGGTGAAGTCATTGAAAAAACTGGCCATGCATCGAGTGATACTTTAAAATCAATTTGCAAAGTTTGAGGAACTAGTGTAGGTTTGGATGAAAAGTTAACACTGGCAGAGATTAAATATTCTGTTGTGACTGTGATGGCACAGAAGTTAGACTGCCTTCTGGTTTCATTATAGGGAACATTTTAGATAATTTAATTAAAACTGTTCAGCTTATTGTCACTGATTTCCATTTAAAGTTAATGTTTAGTTAGGCTTAGGTCTCTCTTTTTTCCTAAAATAAATAAATATAGTTTCAACAACAACAAAAGAGACTGTAAACAGCTGTTTTATCCAATTAAATTTAATTCAGTTTATTTATATAGCACCAAGTCACAACAGAAGTCATCTCAGGACAACGAACAGAAACATATTCAGACATATTATGTCTGAACAAATGTATTTTTTATGGTTTGTGGTCAAATGTTACAGAAAAAAAAATCAGAATCTATGATTAGTTGTTAATAAAAATCCTTGGATTAGTTAATCATATCAGTGTATACTTCAAAGTTTTCCAATTACAACATGAATGAAATTGGGTTTTTAGTGTTTCTAAACTTAGTCAATTTAATTAGTTGCCAATTTCTTCAGGTCAACCTTTTCATATACCGGTAGCACAAGGGAAAAATACATTAATTACTATTGTAGGTACAGATTTTAAGTAAAAAAAAAAAAAAAGTGTATAACTTTAGTAAAGGGAGAAGATTGTCATTTACCATTTTAATGTATCTTTTTTTTAAATCAGAATAATGACTGCATTTTTATTACAAGGCTGTAGGTATTTAATAAAACCTAGAGAAGAATGCTGACTCTGAGTAGAAAACCAAAGTCCTGGTACTACTAACCTTTTGTCAAACTTAGATTACGATCGTTAAAGCTGACACACATACACGACCTCCAACAGGAAGTTCTCCATATACACTGTTCTTTGTGTTCACTATGGAGCAAACCTTTGGTTTTACAACTGATGGGTTGTCGGGATGAATATGCCTGGATTTTTAACCTTTTAACATCAGCGTCATTGTGCTTCAGCAGTGTGGATTTCTTTGTGTAGGGTAGTATGGTCATACTTGTTCCTGACCCCAAGGTGGTTGGGTACTCATCCAGTTATCAGTGATACTCGAGGAATGAATCATAGTGCCAAAAACAGGAAAACGTCGGGGTTTGCAAACAAAAGTCTTAACAGTGTCTTCCTACAGTTCACCTGTTCTCTCAGTATACTCAGACACTTTAAACTATTTTAATAATGCACAAAGATGCCCCATACACACACTATTGTTATCAGTGATTGGACTGGTGATTGAATGATGATGACTCGTGCACACCTATTACAAAACTTGTTTCTTTTCTCACTCGCTGGCATTAAGAATAGTTTGGGTGTGATGTATTAAGCAGTCTCAACATTATTAAACAGAATGATGTCTCGTGATGCCAAATCCATCTTTCACTACCGTCAATCAAAGACCTTTTATAGTTGTGAACAGAATAACTTCAACTTCGATCATGACAAAATAAAATTATTGTTATTCCAGCTGTAAGAGGTCTTTCCAAACTAAACAAAAGCACAAAACATTTTGTTCTTTGAGGCAAACATTTACAAGCGCAGTCTCTGGTGAGGGCAAATTGAAAATGTCAGTTTATTTTGCATTATGCAAAGTAATCTTGCTGACCAATTAAAAAAAAATAAAGTCAAGTGTTCAGATAGGTTAATGGAGCTGACATTTAAAACAGGACGAGAAATAGTGCATTCCAGGAGGGACTAAGAGTGCTCAAGGTATAAAGGTTAAATACATCTGAATATTCCCTTTTTATTATATAAACAAACACGGTTACAACTCTACTCTGTTTTGTATTTTCATGGATGCCATGTCCTTTGTTTTATTTAAACTTATCAGTCGCAATGGCAGCATTAACTGTGGAATTTTGTATTTTGATTTGTGGTTCGGTTACATGAAGATTTGTTAGCCATGTGGTCATTGACTATATTTGACAGAAAACTGAGAGGGTCAAGTCCTTTCTGTCCCCCATACTCTGTCTGTCCAACTGTCCGTGCTGGGAGCGTGATAACTTAAAAAAAAGTGATGTACAGAAATCCATTTTTGTGTGCGTCTACATCTGGGCATAAGATAAGTTACTATTAAAAATTGGGTTGCCGCGTCAACCCCCCCCCCACACACACACACACACACACATACATATGACCGACCACACCTATCATTTGAGGAAACTATTCTTTATAGTTGATATTTTGCCTAAAAAATGAGTTTCCTCAAATGATTGGGGTGGCCGAAGATTAATCGAATTAGAAACATGTTATCAAAAAATTATGCAGAGAAACGGATTCATACATTTGTCACATCTAGACTGGACTATTGCAATGGTTTGTTATCTGAATGTCCAAATATATATTTTTTAAATTATTTCATTAATCCAAAATGCTGCTTCCAGAGTCTTAACTGGAGTTAGTAGGAGAGATCATATCTCTCCAGTTTTAGCGTCTCTCCACTGGCTCCCTGTCAAATTCAGAATATA